ATCCCGGAAACATCCTCGTAAATCCTTTCTGCACCCTCTCAAGTTTAACAACATCTTTCCCACAGAAGGCCGAACAGAATTGTATGCAGTATTCTAAATGTGGCCTCACTGATGTCCTGTACAGCTGTAGCATGACGTCCCAACTCCGACATTCAACGCTCTGACCAATGAAAGGTGTGAAGCTCCATTACTGATATTTTGGCAATGATTTAAATTTAGCACTGAGCAGTCAGGTTTCTCAGGGCTCAGAAACCTGCAATGCGAAAAGAAGGTGGAAGTGGCTGCACCCAGCAGTTCATTGGTGCTCACAGCATTGTTTCTGGGCCAGGAAGACCGACAGACCCATCCACCCCACTCTGCCCACCTGACTCCACAAACAAACCTCTTGTCATGATTGGCCAATTGCACAAAGTTCCCACCACACTGCTCTAATCTTTCTTTAGCAGCAGTTAATTGGTCTATCAACCCGGCCAGCTGCCTGACAGGAAACAGAAAACAGAAGAAAAATGAGGTCCAGTCCTTAAATTTGATCAGCAGGTATCCCCATTGCTGGAGTTTTCACGTTTCTACTCAGCATCATATCCTCCCCCCAAACTATCTGGGCCTTCTTTTTCTTCTCTTAACTGTCTAATTTGCAAAATATTTGTAAGCAATAAAAAAAATTAACTGTTGACCCAATAAATAGCTGTAAAAACCCAAATGTGGCCAAAATTAGCATGAAGATCATGAACTGTTATAAGTTTATTACTTGAGATCATTCAGTTGCTTTCCAAAAATAGTTCGTATACCATAAATTGTCTAGAGCTGGCACAAATATTAATTTAACAGTTAGAAACCAAAAGAACTGCGGATGCTGTAAATCAGAAACGAAACAGAAATTGCTCTAAGAGCTCAGCAGGTCTGTCAGTCACTCGACACGAAACGTTAACTCTGATTTCTCTCCACAGATGGTGCCAGACCTGCTGAGCTTTTTCAAAAATTCCTTTTCTTGTTTCAATTTAACAGTTTCTCATTTAGGCAATTCACTCGAAAACTTAAACTGAATATTAGAAATGCAACAGGAGAGGTTATCCTGAGATAATCATAAGTGCACAACAATCTTATCAGGACTCTGTAGACACTTGCACACTAAATAGTTTAGGTTTCTAATATGGGCAAGAGGCAGATTTAATCCCAGTTAAGCCAGGGCAAAGTGCTTAGACTCAGGATCTGCAGTCTTGAACATGTATAAGCACAATGGTCTGTTTCTGACTGATAAGCTGCAGCAAGCAGTAACTCATACGATAGAAATACAATAAAAGAAGAAACAAGCTCCAGTTCAATAGTAAAAATGTCAACAAAAACAAAAGTGCAAATTAATGTTATAAACATTTCCTTTTGTCTTTTACAGATTAGATTTACAAAGCTTTTTTTTGAAGTTGCAAGCATTTTGCTGCACAGTCATGCTTTTCAAACACTGACAGCAACTGAGATTAAACCGGCAACATTTAAACTTGAACCAAAGGATGCTTGCAGGGGTCTGCATTATACAAACCCTTTCTTTCCACTTCTCAGACTCCGAATCTAGGTGTCTAGCACCTCCATTTTTCTTGGAAGCCAAAAAGAGAATGAGGGAGGGGGCCAAACTATCTGTGGGTGCAAAAACATTAATACTTGACAGTCTTGACACACAGCTCTTTGTGATTGAATTGCAGAGCTTGTTGAAAACATTCAAGTCATTTTTGCACTGGGACTAAGGGCTGTACTCTGTTTTTTGCCCAAGTCCAAATTACATCAAATTATTTGTAGTGTTTGTCACCACAAGGCGAACATGTTTTCTTGTGGTATCTTATCAAACACGTCACATTAATTGCTCCAGTCACCAGATATCTGCTGGATCACTGGTATCTCTTGTGCGCTCCATGATTAAAATGCCACATTTCCCCCGCCGCACCGGCATTGTGAGCTGCCCTGCTTGTTGAAATAAGGCCAATTTGGCCCTTGCAGGAGAAAATGGAAATGGTCGTGAGTTTGGAAGGTGCTGTCTAAGGATCTTTGGTGAATTTCTGCAGTTGGTACATGTTGCTGCTCCTGAGCATCAGTGATAGAGGCAGTGGATGTTTGTGGATGTGGTGCCAATCAACCGGGCTGCTTTGTCCTGGATGGTGTCAAGCTTCTTGAGTGTTATTGGAGCTGACCCCATCTAGGCAAGTGGGGAGTATTCCATCACATTCCTGGCTTGTGCCTTGTAGATGGTGGACAGATTTTGGGGAGTCAGGAGGTGAGATACTCACTGGAGGATCCCTCGCCTCTGACCTACTCTTGTAGCCACTGTATTTATATGACGAGTCCAGTTCAGTTTCTGGTCAGTGGTAACCCCCAGGGTGTTAATCGTGGGGAATTCAGTGATGATAATGACATTGAACATCAAGGGGTGATAGTTAGATTCTCTCTTGTTGGCGATTGTCATTGCCAGGCATTTGTGTGGCATAAATGTCTGTTTAATGGCATTGGCTGCTGTCAGCCTAAAATCTTGGATATTGACCAGATCACATTTGGATATAGACTGTTTCAGTATCTGAGGAGACATGAATGATGCTGAACATTGTACAATCATTAGTAAATATCCCCACTTCTGACCTTATGATGAAGCAGCTGAAGATGGTCGGGCCTAGGACATTACCCTGAGGAACCCCTGCAGAGATGGAGACCCCCAACAAACACAATATCTTCCTTTGTACCAGGTATGACTCCGATCAGCACAGAGTTTTCCCCGGTTCCCACTGACTCCAATTTTGCTCAAGTTCCTTGATGCCATGCTCGGTTAAATAAAGCCTTGGTGTCAAGGGCTGTCACATTCACCTCATCATCAGCTATTTATAATGCAAATTATAGTTTTTATTGAACACAGTTTGACTGTTATCTCATACTTAGATTTCCATTGCTGCAGTATTGATCATTACAGTAAAAGTTTTAAATAGTGAAATCTTGACAATCAATTTCTTCAATTGGGACTCAGAGTCAGAGAGATATACAGCATGGAAACAGGCCCTTCAGTCCAACTCATCCATGCTGACCAGATATCCTAAATTAATCTAGTCCCATTTGCCAGCATTTAGCCCATATCCCTCTAAACACTTCCTATCCATATACCCATCCAGATGCCTTTTAAAATGTTGTAACTGTACCTGCCTCCACCACTTCCTCTGGCAGCTCATTCCATTCACAGCACCCTCTGTGTGAAAAAGTTGTCCTTTAGGTCCCTTTTAAATCTTTCCCCTCTCACCTTAAACCTATGCCCTCTAGTTTTGGACTCCCCCACCCGGGGAAAGACCTTACTGATTTACCCTATCCATGCCCCTCATGCTTTTACAAACCTCTGTAAGGTCACCCCTCAGCCTCCAACACTCCAGGGAAAATAGCCCCAGTCTATTCAGCCTCTCCCTATTGCCCAAACCCTCCAATCCCTGGCAACATCCTTGTGAATCTTTATTGAACTCTTTCTAGTTTCACAACATCCTTCCTATAGGAGGGAGAGCAGAATTGCACGCAATACTCCAAAAGTGGCTGAAGGACTGTCCTGTACAGCTGCAACGTGACCTCCCAACTCCTAAGCTCAATGCACTGACCAATAAAGGAAAGTGTACCAAAAGCCTTCTTCACTATCCTATCTACCTGCGACTCCACTTTCAAGGAGCTATGAAGCTGTACTCCAAGGTCTCTGTTCAGCAACACTCCTCAGGACCTTACCATTAAATGTATAAGTCCTGCTCTCATTTGCTTTTCCAAACTGCAGCACCTAACATTTTGCTAAATTAAACTCCATATGCCACTCCTCAGCCCATTGGCCCATCTGATCAAGATCCCATTGTACTCTGAGGTAACCTTCTTTGCTGTCCACTACACCTCCAATTTTAGAGTTATCTGCAAACTTACTAACCATACCTCCTACATTCAAATCCAAATCATTTATATAAACAATAAAAAGCAGTGGACCCAGCACCAATCCTTGTGGCACACTGCTGGTCACAGGCCTCCAGTCTGAAAAGCAACCCTCCACCACCCTCCGTCTTCTACCTTTGAGACAGTTCAGTATCAAATAGCTAGTTCTCTCTGTATTGCATGAATTCTGGGTAATCCAAGTTGGACAATGGGAAAAAAGTTGTAGCTGTATGATCTGTTCCTTTTTTGAGGTATTTTCAGTGTTGGAGCTGAGTTTCTCAAATTCTAGGAGCAGTAATTACTGTTTTATAAGCTGTTGCATTGTTTTGGAGCTTTTGGGAAAAAAAGATCAAAACAACGGCACTTTAAATAAAGGAGACAGGGAGACAAAAGGCAGTGACCACATGGTGGAGCTGTTTGGAAAATTTTGTTCTTCCATGTTATTGGACTCCAGGGGTCTGCAACAGAGGTGCAAAGGCCATAGTTGGCTTATAGTCTGTGTAATTAGTTCCTCAGCTCAAGATTTTCCACCTTATCAAAATATACTGCAGAAAGATTCCAATTCTCCTTCGTTCCCTTCCCCAAGGAGAAAACTGGGAGGGTACTTGACATAACCAGTGTCCAAACCCGATTTAATTCTTCCTCAATAGTATAACTGCAATTAGAAACTCACATTAGAATCCCAGGATAAAAATCTAAATCCTACCACTCAGTGTTACAACACATACCACAACCCCAAGAGCATCCACATGTTCATTTGATGCATCATTTCCTAGTTGTACTCCTTAAATATATTAAACATCAAAATTATTCAAAAGTAAAAAGATTTTTACATTACCAGGGAAAGCATGTATGTTCCAAAAGTTCCACTGGACATTTGAGAGCAAAATAATTGAAGTCATTCTTCTATTTCAGAACACCAGCACGTTAATACAAATTTAGGAAAAAAAAAACTTAATAATCAAAAATAGATATTTTACATTTTCAAAGTTTACTTGTTTCCCATTTAGATTAGAATAGGATGAAAAGAATAATAAAGAGGAAAAGTGTCATACCTGCTTAGTGCTAGACAAAGCGTCACGCTGCTCTGTCAGACTGCCAGTTTCCATTGTACATCACTGAAAGAAAAAGATTGATCTGCCTTATTGTATAACAGGGAACAGAATGTGAATAATGAACTTAATTTGAAGGTGACCAGTAATATTGAATTAGTTTGTTTAATTTTGAAACGTAGGACTCTGAAATAAATGGCTGCAAAAATATCTTCTGTACCACTGTACTGAATATTTTGAAAATATTCCCAGGAACACAAATTCTCAATAAATATCGTCCAATCATTGCTCATTGTCTTAGACAACATGTTGCTAAAAAGCAGCTTTTGTGAACAAGGTGTTCTGTTACAAAACTTAAACTGAAGTGGTGGCTCAATGGTTAGCAGTACCTCCTCACAATGCCAGGGACCCAGGTTCAATTCCAGCCTTGGACAACTGCCTGTGTGGAGTTTGCACATTCTCCCTGTATCTGCGTGGGCTTACTTCGGTTTCCTCCCAGTCGAAAGATGTGTAGGCTGGGTGGATTAGCCCTGGGAAATGCAGGGGTAGAGGGGTGGGTTTGAGTGAGATGCTCTTCGGAGGGTTGGTATGGACTCAGTGGATTGAATGGCCTGCTTCCACACTGTAGGGATTCTATGAAGTGTGTTCAATCATTGTTAATGCGACTTAATTTAGTTAGTTCAATATTTATGACACAGATCTTCCCCAACTTTTCTCCAGGGGAATGTGCTTAGCCCATGCAAAAGAGTCAGAAATTGGGGATGGAGACTTGGTACAATGGGTTTTCATCCTTTACATTGCATCTGAACTTTAAGGGGTCCCCCAAATAAATGAGTAAAGTCTGTGCCAGCAACAGGTAAAGAGAAAGCATGTCAAAGCAGCACGATAATGGAGCCTGAATAACCATTCGCTTCTTTTGACTCGTCAGTTCCAGTTCTCCTCACTAATTTCCCCAACACTCCCTCCCACAGCCACCAACCTCCTTTGTCCACACCCTCTAGCTAGTAAGCCATAGTTAACTATTATTCTCCTTCCTTTTTTTTGTTTCTTTGTACGTGTGTTCTGAACAATTTTATTTGCTTTTACGTTCCTTCTAATCTCCATATTATATCACTGCAATCCAGCTCTTACTGTGTATCTTATCTGGTTATATACTGTTCCAGAAATAGAGGTAACCAGGGGATAAATAAGATTGAGGAAATTAAAGCTAAATTAAAATGAGCAGAGAAAAAAATATTGCAGAAATTACAATCTGACAAATTTCCAGGACCTAATGGCCCACCATGCTCAGGTTTCAAAAACAGCCAGCTGCACAGATTGTGGGAACGATTTTCTAAAGCTCCCTACAATGGTCACAGTGAATCAGAAGTCAGCAAAAGAAACACCGCTACTAAAGAAGAAATGGAGAAAGTAAACAGCGAACAGCCTGTTAGGTATCCATCAATCATTGGGAAAATGCTGGAATGTATTATTAAGGCAGCCTTAGAAAAACACAGTATGATTAGAGAAAGTCCACATGTTTATGAAAGGGAAAATCAGATTTAGCAAATTTATGAGTGACGTTCGAGCAGATAACTAGTAGCGTAGATAAAAGGGAATCGGTACTTGTTTTTCCAAAAGACATTCAATATGGTGCTACACAAAAAAGTTAATTCGAAACATAAGGTTCATGAAGTTGGGGTGACATTTTAGCAGAAGAGAGGACCAGTTAACAGACAGAAAACAGAGAGTCACTTGGAAAAGTGCACTGCTTCTCAAGCTGGACTACTCCCGGGATCGTCACAAAAGCTGAACATTTAATTCAAGTCCCCAATTTAACTGTCTGATGGGCACAGGATAATAGATGTACTGACCAAATGTCTGTACTTGACAATAAGTTACTATTATGAATAAACCAATTATAACAGACGGACTAAAATATGAATATCAGCATCACTCTGCTGGTCAAAATTCTTAAACACCTCTTTGAACCCCTATACACACACACATAGCAAACACACATAGAGAGAAGGATAATGGGGAAATGGCTCAATAGAACCAATCCACAAGATTTTGTGATGTATTATTTTTGTTTCCCCAAGATCTCCCTGTTTCAGGTTTCTTTCAACTCTCTGCAGAGGACACAGAGCAGTTGGCTCACTAATTGTAAAGTCTTTAATTCACAGCAACTAGTCAGTCAGAGTGAATATCTAAATGTCTTCAGGTTGCAACAGTGAGTGAGAGAGAGTAAGAGAGTCCAAGTCCTTGTCTTTTCTGCACTCTGGAGGTTTCTCTCCCTCTACCGTTCACACACAACCAGGACCATTCAGCAAGTTATTGCCACATTGACTACTTCTGGCATCCACAGCTAGTCATAATTTCACAAACCAATCAGCAACTGTCACATGGCAAAGCTCACTCTGAACACACCCTGGTGCCATAGCATCTTAGACATCTTCCCCACTGCTTGAACAAAGCAGCAGAGTAAACATAACTCACAATGAGTTCCAATCACTTGTTTTAAAAAGTGCAGCAATTTCTTCCACACTCCTTGGTGTAAAACAGTACTTTCCATTTTAAATCAACAATCAAAAATGTGGTTTTTATATGCCCTAATCCTTATAGGAGATGAAACACCGTTTCCAAAGCGTATTTCATCACAAAGTATGTGACACACAAGGAACAAACACGCTATTATGCCAGATGTAGACTTCAAAGTGTTGAAGGACCAATAATAATCCCAAAATCTATTTTCTACTTCCTCTGATACCGGTTTAGTTTCTTATGTAAGTACCCCACTGGTTTAGTTTCTGGGAAAGTACCCACTGGTTTGTCTACACCCTGCTTATCAGCTTGTAATAAGATTAAACCTACCCGCTAATCACTGGCATCAATCACAAATTTAAGAGGTCTGGTAAAGTCACAGGCAGCCAATACAGGTTCATTTATAAGGATTACCTTTCATGTTCTTTCCATGTGTTACTGCAGATTATAAGACTGTCTAAATAAACTACACAGTTAGGTACATCAGCTACAACTAGATTTACAGTGGAGTAGCTGTGGCACTTTTAAACCAATTATTGGTGTAATTCATTTGGTGTGCCAGAAATGGATATCCCTTTAGCCCTTAATATTAATAGCACTTGCCAGTACCCCCCTCAATAGATCATTCTTAGAAAGGAATGAGGGACTGCTAACCTTATCAATACAAGTCTTCTAACTGAGGAATAGGTATGAATTTGTTTTATAACTGCTTACTTTTCTATAATCTATACAGAACGTAGATGATCCTTCCAGTTTAGGAACCTGGAATTAATGGAAATTGGGGAAAACGCTCCACTAGTTAGAGTCATACCTGGCACATAGGAAGATGGTTGTTGTTGTTACAGGTCAGTCATCTCAGCTCCAGGATATCTCTGCAGGAGTTCCTCAGGGTAGTGTCCTAGGCCCAACCATCTTCAGCTGCTTCATCAATGACCTTGCCTACATCATAAGGTCAGAAATGGGGACGTTTGCTAGTGATTGCACAGTGTTCAGCAATACTCGCAACTCTTTGGGAACTGAAGCGATCCATTTCAAATGCAACAAGGTATGGACAATATCAAGGCTTGGGCTGACAAGTATTAAGTAACATTCACGCCACACAAATGCTAGGCAATGACCATCTCCAATAACAGACAGACAGACAGACAGACAGACAGACAATCTAACCACTGCCCCCTTGACATTCAATGGTGTTATCAACACTGAATACTCCCACCATCAACATCATTGGGATTACCACTGACCAGAAGCTAAACGTGGCTACAAGAGCAAGTCAGAGACTAGGAATACAGTGGCGAGTAACTCACCTCCTGAGTCCACAAACCACCACCAAGGCACAAGTCAGGAGTGTGATGGAATACTCCCCACTTGGCTGGATGGGAGTAGCTCCAACAGCACTCAAGAAGCTTGACAGCATCTAGGAAAAAGCAGCCTATTGATTGGCACCACATCCACAAGCATCCACTCCCTCCACCGCTAACAATTTATAAGACGCACTGCAGAAATTCACCAAAGATGCTTAGATAGCACCTTCCAAACCCACAACACTTCCATCTAGAAGGACAAGGGCAGCAAATACATGAGAACATCACCCTCTGCAAGTTTTCCCTCAAAGTCACTCACCATCATGACTTGGAAATATATCGCCGTTGCTGGGTCAAAATCCTGAAATTCCCTCCCTAAGAGCATTGTGGGTGTACCTACAGCACATGGACTGCAGCAGTTCAAGAAGGCAGCTCACCACCACCTTCTCAATGGCAATTGGAGACAGGCAATAAATGCTGGCCAGCAATGTCCACATCCCATGTGTGAATTAAAAAAAAAGAGCAATACTACCAGTGAACTTCACCTGCTGTGGCTAGGTTCAATTAACGATTTTCCAGCATGCATTGAACCTCAACCAGTATTGACCTTTCTTCTCTGGCCAGATGCATATCTATAGATGATCTTATGCTTCTTAAATTGCCTTACAAGATCTTCCCATTGTCCTTGCTCTAAAATGAGAACACAGTGTCTCTGACCCAGCATTTCCACATTGGACAGTCAGATTGTCAGAGGATTGCTTTGAGAATGATTTAGTTCACTTTATTCTCTCTGACATCCTCCAGAGTTCAACGAAAGCCAAAATGTTAGTCAGTCAATGTGACAATGGAGAATATATCCCGTTTTATTGTACAAAAGTCCAACTAGAGTGTGACTTGTTACCTAGACCAGTAGTATTCAGGGTTGTAAACAAATCACCCATGGATGGAGTTGATTTATTCCTGGGGAATGATTTGGCCGGAGTAAAAGTTATAGCTTCACCCATAATCGTGAAGTGTCAGAGCCAGGTTAAAGAGACAAAGCAGTTGCAAGAACAGATTTCAGGTATTTTTTTACCCCCCCGTTGTGTGTAGTGACCAGCGCAACTGCTAAATAAAGTCCATCACCAGAGGTTACCGTAATACTACAAGCTTATGTTAGGGTAGCTGAAACTCTCCGTTAAGAAGATGGATAATTCAAAAGAAGTGTTTGGCAGGTCTTCATTTGTTGATGCTCAGGAG